TCGTCATCTCTGTTTACTCCGTCATCTCTGAATCTTGCCCTCTGCCTCTCTCTGGCTCTGAGGCTCTGACTCTCTTCCCAAATATTTGGCTCCCTTTCTGTCCATCTCTCCCCCACCCCCACTTCCGTTCCCTCTCTTTCTCTACCTCTGTCCCTCTCTTGCTGTCTCTCTGTCACTGTCTGACCTTCTCTCTCCCCAGTCTCTGCCCCTTCCTCCGATCCCTGAAAGAAAGGGCTACTCTATCACAAAATCCCCTTCTTCCTCAGTGACCAATTTTCTTTCCTACAGAAGAGAAAGTAGCTCAGGCCTTAACCCATTTCCTCCGGCGTATTCAAATTAATTAGGTGAGGCTGGGATCACACATTTCAGAATTAGAGTAATATTTATTGAGCACCCTGGAGAGAAGGGGATGGAAAGTGGAGAGGAACAGGAGTGAGGAGGGAGGTCATTGAGCTGAGGAGTTGAGGGAAGGGGGTGTGAGATGATAGAGGGGGACCCAGCATCATCCGGGAACAAGGACCCCATTTCTAGCTGCCCCAGGGCTCCAGGCAAGGGGGAACCCTAGGGGGCGGTGCTCAGGAAGCAGAGAAGCCTGCTGTGGGTGTGGCCTCCTTGGGACCGCACAGGGCAGGTCCCTGCAGCCTAGCTAGCCTGTCTGTTCAGCACGTGTCCTTCTCCTTCAACTGGGCAGCCCAACTCAGCCCTGCCAACAGGGCACCTGGAGAGGGTATCACGCAAGTCATTACCTTCAGGGGGAGACAGCTTGGCTGTAACCCAGTTAAAACTCCTTCTCCAGCAGCAAGCAGGGATGCTCTGGGGCGCCTGATGTTCTCCAGAGAGGCGTCTTCCCCCTCACTTCTCAGCCCTCAGCATCGGCATGGCTTCTCAGGATTGAGTACCGAGAGCCACCCCCCACCCACCCCCAACCAATCCCAAGAGTCCTGATCCCAGGTTGAACATCTCTTCTCTGCCGGGTCCCCCTTGGCCAATAAGCCTGGAGTGAATCTGCTGTGGGCTTGCCATTTACACTGTCCATATGGACCAAAGGGATGCTGGGTTGAAAGCCCTACAAAGGCTGGGAAGGAGATACTCTTTGCTCTTTTCTCTCTTTGAGTAATGGCTGAGCAATGTGCCAAGAAAGACCCAGAGATACATTGACACGTCAGACACACAAGATCCCCTGAATTTCAAGATGTTCGTCTCAGTGTTGCCAGCCCTACTTGTCCCAGAGCCCAGTCCAGCGTCCCATCTTGGTAGATATTGCAGGAACTAGATTGCATTTCGTGTTAATCAAAGACCTACTTCACATAGTGCTGTGTACATGTGGCTCGGAGTTTCTCAACCTTGCCAGCATTCTGGGTGGGATAATTCTTTGTGGGGGGGTGGGTCATGGGGGGCTGTCCTGTGCCGTGTGGGATGTTTAGCAACATCCTTGGCCTCTGCACACCAGTTGCCAGTCGACTTCCCTCCCCAGTTTTGTGGCAACCAGAAAATATCACCAGCCATTGCCAAATGTTCCCTAAGGGCGAAATCACTGTCATTCACGTAGATTTAGTCTTGACTTTCCAAAAACATGGACTTAACCGCTTGACTCTGTTTTTCCTTCATAGATTTCCTTCATAGATAAGAACTTGAGAGGCAAGATAAAGACAAAAAAAGAATATGACCTTTTTTTTTGATAATAGTAACTTTATTGAGATGTAATTCACCTACTATAAAATTCATCCTTAAACTTAAAAGTGTCCAGTTCAGTGATTTTTGTACATTTTCAGAGTTGTCCAACTATCACCACTGTCTGATTTTAGAATATTTTCATCATTCCCCCAAAGAAAACCCATACCTATTAATAGTCATTCTCCATTAACCCCTCCATTAGCCCCTAGTAGGGCTTCCTTGGTGGCAAAGTATACGCCTGCAAGTGTAGGAGATGCCGGTTTGATCCCTGGTAGGGAAGATCCCTTGGAGAAGGAAATGGCAGCCCGCTTCAGTATTCTTGCCTGGAAAGTCACCTGGACAGAGGAGCTTGGCAGGCTACAGTCCATGGGGTCACAAAGAGTTGGACACAACTGAGCAGCTAAACGGCAACAACAGCCCCTGGCAGCCACCAGTCTACTTTCTGCCTCTATCGATCTGCCGAATCTGGGTATTTTATATACATAGAATCATAACCTGTGGTTTTTTGTGACTGGTTTCTTTTATGTAGCATGTTGTTTTCAAGGTCATTCATGTTGTAGCATATATCAAAGCATCTTGCTTTTTTAAGGCTGAATAATAATACTTTTTGTGAATACACAATATTTTATTAGTCCATTCATCAGAAGATGGGCATTTGGGTTATTTCCACCTTTTGGCTATTGTTAATAATGTTGCTATGAACTTTCATATACAAAGTTTGTGTAGGCATATGTTTTCATTTCTGTTGGGCATATACCTAGGAGTATTCTAATTGCTGGGCCATATGGCAACGCTATGTTTAATATTTGGAGGAACTGCCAAACTGTTTACCAAAGGGCCTGCACCATTTTGCATTCCCACCAGTAGTGTATGAAAGCTCCAATTTCTCCACATCCATGCCCACATTTGGAATTGTCTTTTGGTCATAGCTATCCTGGTGGGTGTGAACATGTATCATATTGTGTTTTTGATTTGTACTTTCAAATGTTGAGCTACTTACTTTTCATGCCTGTACCTTGTTTGGAGCAATGTCTAATTATATCTCATCCATTTTTAAATTGTGTTGTTTGTTTTTTATTGCTGAATTATAAGAGTTCTTTAAATATTCTGAATGCATATCTCTTAGCAGAAATATGATTTGCAAATATTTTCTCCCATTCTCTGGGTTATCTTTCATTTTCTTTGTGCTATTTTCTGATGTAGAAATGTTTTTAGTTTTGATGAAGTCAAGTCTGCAAATTTTTTCTTTTGTTCCTTGTGCTTGGGTGTCATATCTAAGAAACCTTTGCCAAATCCGAGGTTACAGAGACTGACTTCTCAATTTTCTTCTGAGAACATATACTGTTAGCTCTAATATCTAGGTTTATGATCCATTTTGAATTAATTGCTACATATGGTGTGAGGTGAGGGTGCAGTTTTATTCTCTGCGTGTGGACGTCCATTTGTTGAAGAAACTTCTTTTCCAGTGATCATGGCGTCCTTGTCGAAAATCAGTTGAACATAGATGGATTTCTGGACTCTTCAATTTGATTCCATTGGTCTGTACTTCTGTTGTAACTTTTAACTCGCTATTTCCTCACCACGGAAAAATGGTAGGAAAGTGTCTTTCATAAATAGGGTGAAGGAGTCTAGGTAATTTGTGTGGATGTATGGTTAAAAATATATATATAGAATATTGATCACATTCTGGAATTAAAAGGGAGCTTCGAGGTCATGTTAGTTTAAACCGTTTGTTTGGCTGCTGCGGAATAAAAAGATTAAATTTCAATTTCAGTGGCCAATAAATCTGTCTGAAGATCCACAGCTCATCAGTGGCAGAGCTGGTATTAGAACCCAGAGCTCTCGATTTTGTGGGGCAGTGTTTTTTTCTTATTCCCAGGCCCCAGGTCTGCCCGAAGTTCCTTTACCAAGCTAGCGAGGTTCTGTCTTCGCCTCCCCACTTCTTGGTCCACAAAAGTGAATGAGGTGGTGACGTGTGTGCGCTTTCCCTCCTAGAGCCTGAGGAAAAAGAAGCAAGCCAGCATGGGGAAAGCATTTGGAAGATCTGAAATTGCTGTATAAATGCCACTAAATGATAAGATTGCCAGCTTGCTGCTCCTCTCCTAGGAAGGTTCAGCATGTCAGAGGCAGAATGATGAAAGGAAACAATTCACTCTCAGACTCCTTTTTAAACTGCTGTGGTTGTCACTTTTCAAGGAAGGGGGCCGAGTGCAGGGAGCTAGAAGGAAGCCTCGGGGTGGGCTGGGGTGTGGCCCGCTCTCAGGTGGGCTGGACTGGCTGGGAGAGGGCTGGAAGCACAGTGCCTCACCCACGCCTGAGGGACAGCCCAGGTACAAGGAAGAGTCCTTTCCCCGCTCATGCAAAGAACTGGGCACCTGACCCTGAAATGACCGTGTCCGATGCTGGTCCCTTGGGTCTCCTCAGAGCATCCCGTGTGTCCCCGTTTTCTACCAACAGTAGTATCACCTGTGATATTCACCTGCAGAGGGAGTCTTGTTCCAGACCAGGTGTGGGAATGATGTCCCCTAAATGCTGAGCCCCTAGATGGTCGGAACTGTGTTCTCTTTACCCTGGTCTCTGCCGTGACTGAGGCATACAGTCCTTAATTAATGCACATTTGGTGTTGAGTGAATGAAACCTGCTCCTGTGGTACTGGGACCCTTGCAGAGGGCGTGGACCTCTCTAGCAGCATCTCTGTACATGTCTCTTTCCTCTCGTGTATTTTTCTCTCTCTATGTTTGTGATTGCTCCGTCCTCTAAGCTCCAGCTGCATTCACTGCCTGCACCGTCCTTGTATTCTGATATTTATCATTTTATCTGTACGTCCTGTCTTTGCAGCTAAAGCACCCCTTTCTGGACCACGGGAACTGAGTTTTGTACTTATTTAGGTCACCTGTATAGATACAGTCTCCTCGGTGTGTGTCTTTCGATGGGGAGGTTGATCCCCCTGTTATTAATTACTTGCCACTGAACTGGAGGCCAACAGTGACCACCTTTCACTGCAGTGGCATTCCTTACGGCACCTTCTGTAGTATCTGCCTGGCATAGGGGCTTATTTGGGGAGCCAGCATTTTGAAAGGGCTCAGAGTTCATTGGTATGAAATGAACCAAAGAAAGAAACCACAATCACAACCTTTTAATACCTGTCCCACCAGCATGGCAGCGTCACCCCTATATCCCCACTGGGCCCAACACCAGATGATGCTGTGGCTGTAACTGAATATTGGGTCTCCATCCATCAAAGGGCCAGTGAAAGTCACCCACCCAACTTTCTTTGTGGTTGTGCTCACTGGTGAACCTCACTGTGTGATCTCTTTCTCTTTCAGGGCTCTGGCTGACATCCTAAGACAACAGGGACCAATCCCCATAGCACACTGTGAAAGAGAAACTATCTCGGCCATCGATAGCTCTCCCAAAGAGAACACGCCGGTCCGATCGTCCTCCAAAAACCACTACACCCCCGTGCGCACGGCCAAGCAGACTCCAGGTAAGTGAGCGCTGATCACTCTGCATCTCTGCTGAGGCTGGTGAGAGGGTTCTGTGGTGTTTCTGCTTCAGCCGGGCAGGTCGTGGAGCCCTGACCTGGTGGGCTTGTGGAAGAGTCTGGAGACTGTCCCTCCTGGGGAGAGAGTGGCATGGAAAGACCACTGCCAGTGAGTGTCTGGGCTGGAGGAGAGCTGATTGTTTAGGGCCTCTGTGATCTCGTGAGTGTCTGCATAATTCTCTTCCCTGGAAGGAACTTGCGGCAGCCTTGGGGGTGAGGTACAGTCACTGTCTTGCCCACGTGGTGGGAAGGCAGATCTTTCACAAGAAGTGGCTGTAATCAGAGACTGCTCAACTGCTGGAATCTCAAAAAGCATTTCCTGTGGGTAGGGATTACGTCTGTGTTGTCGGACAACCCTTCCCTGTGCCCTGTGGAATCTCTGGATATGCGAGTTGCCGTGTGATAGCAATATGCTGGTATTCTTCCACTTGGTCATCACTGTAACCCATATGGAACAATAAACAAAACAAGGGAATAACAATAAATAATGTAACCTCACATGTATGGGGATCTTTCTGTGTGCCAAGTGTTATGCTGATCATTTTACATGGATTGTCTTACTTATTTTTCACAGCAGCCTTTGACGTGCTTATATTGTCCTCTTTTTATATATGGAACAGAAAGGCTCAATGATTTTCCCAAGGACATATGGTTAGTATGAAAGCAAGCCTGGATTCAAACTGAGGCATGTAGGTAACAACAGTCGGGTCTAGAAAACCCTAGAATCCTAATCCAGTTTGGGACATTACTTTCTCAGAGTTTCTGAGAGGACTGTCCCCTTACAAGAGTAGCTGGGAAGGTCATCTCTCATCGTGAGCATTACCAGACAGCCTTCTGCTAACCCCAATCTCAGACATGGCTTCTGTGTTGATACTTGGATCTGAAATCGTCACATCTGTCTGTAGGGTCTGAACTAAACCTGCAATAAAGATATGCAGTCACTAGGTGGCAATAGGTATGTTGTGAATTCAAACTGTAGCAGACATGCTATTGAGACCAGATTTATTAAATGAGAAATCACATACTTGCCTTTGAGGTAATAGAGTTAAGTCTTTTGAGACTGTGATAAAAATCAAGGACATTCACCTCCCCCAAACATACACATATGAATATATATTTGATCCAACATGTTGTGTAGGGTTTACAAGGTTCTTCCAAAGTTAAAAGTCTCTGATTTAAAATTAAAGATGAGAAATCCACCCTTGCAAAAATTCTAAGATGCATTTTTAGCCTGAATATCATAAATGTTTAAAATGTAAGTAATAGAAGGAACTGGCAAAAACCTCGAGACCAGTGATTATCTCCCTTGCTGCACATTAGAATCACCTGGGGAAGCTCTTAAAAATGCTGATGATGCTGGTGTCTGGGTCCCACCAATTAACCAGAGTTTCTGGGGATGCTGCTGGCAGCAGTATTTTAAAAAATCACTCGAAAGTGATTCTAACACACAGACAGAATAAAGAGCCACTTGTCCAGATGGATTCCTTTATTTTATGAATGAAGACACTGAAAGGCTGTGCCAGTCGTCCTCAAATTTGGCTGCACGCTGGAATCACCTTGGGAGCTTTAAAAATTAACAGTACCTGGGCCTCACCTCCAGAGATTATAATTTAATTGATGTGGGGGTGTGGCCTGAGCAGAAGGTGGGGGGCATGTTTCTTTCTAATAGGTTGTCATCATTCAGTTATGTCCAACTCTTGGCGACCCGTGAACTGCAGCACTCCAGGCTTCGCTGTCCTTTACTATCTCCCGGAGTTTGCTCAAACTCATGTCTGTTGAGTCAATGGTGCCATCCAACCATCTCATCCTCTGTCCCTGCACTTCTCCTCCTACCTCCAATCTGTCCCAGAGTCAGGGTCTTTTCCAGTGAGTTGGCTCTTCGTATCAGCTGGCTAAAGTATTGGAGCTTCAGCTTCAGCATCAGTCCTTCCAATGAATATTCAGGGTTGATTTCCTTTAGGATTGACTGGTTTGGTCTCTTTGCAGTCCAAGGGACTCTCAAGAGTCTTCTCCAGCACCACAGGTGATTTTAATATGGAGCAAAGTTTGGGGAATCACTGAGCTGTGGAAATTGCAGAAAGGTGCCATTCTAACTTATTCTTGATTGTCTAATTTAAACTTGGTATTGTGACCATCTGCAAGGGGGCATTTCTGTTTCTCCAAAGACTCATGGTTTGAAGTCAGGCTCTTCCAGAATCTTGTCTATGATTTTGGAACTTCAGGTCACTCTGGTACCCAAAGCATTCCTGGAAGTTTATCTTCATCCCTGTCTGTTCCGCTTTTCTCTGTCTCATTCTCAAACCAGATAGTTGCCAGTCATTGAGTCTAGATGAAGTGGACAGTCTTGATTTGCCCTTAAATGCCTTTCACTGGTCCTGAAGATCTGTCATTTCTTCTGGTTTCTGTATATATCCTTTCCTCTGTTGATCTGAGAAGAGAAGCTTATAGTTAAATGATTCACTCCTTTGTTTTGAGAAATCCCTCCCTGTATTTCTCAATTTGGAACTCTTCACTTGGCTTTTAGAGATGGGAATTGTTCCCTGGCCCAGAATGCATTCTCAATGGTGATACTTAGATTTAAAAGCAATTTCATAACCATCTGCAATGTCCACAACTTCTAATGGATGCAACTGCTTTTCTGAATCCTTTGCCACAGAAGACTATGTTTTGAGCAGAAGTTTAAATAGAACTTTGTGTAAGTGTTCGAAGTGGAGACGTGTTGTGGTTTCACCACTGGTCAAATCAACAGATCACTGATCAGAGGAGTATTGTGGCAAGAGTTTTGTTGGGGGATCTTGAGAAAGACATCCAGAAATCTCAGGAGGCATCATAGCCTATGAGTCTGGACCAGCCACATCAGTATCACTTGAAAGTTTTTGAGAAATGCAGAATCTCAGGCTCCCATCTCACCTGCTTGAGGAGAATTTGCATTTTCATGAGGTCACGTAGCAAGTAACATTTAAGAAGCCCTGACACAACATGGGCTATGACATAAATGCCTCAGTTTTTTTTCTTTTCTTCCCCTTTCACATGCTGCATATGTGACTTTGGCAAGTTTCTTCGCCTTTCTAAATTTCTTCATCTGCCTTGAGGCTAATAGTACAGCTGTGTCAGTTCAGTTCAGTTCAGTTCAGTCACTCAGTCGTGTCTGACTCTTTGGATCCCCTGTAGTCCAAAGGACTCTCAAGAGTCTTCTCCAACACCACAGTTCAAAAGCATCAATTCTTTGGCGCTCAGCTTTCTTTATAGCCCAACTCTCACATCCATACATGACCACTGGAGAAACCATAGCCTTGACTAGATGGACCTTTGTTGGCAAAGTAATGTCTCTGCTTTTCAATATGCTATCTAGGTTGGTTATAACTTTTCTTCCAAGGAGTAAGTGTCTTTTAATTTCATGGCTGCAGTCACCATCCAGAGTGATTTTTGAGCCCCCCAAAATAAAGTCTGTCACTGTTTCCACTGTTTCTGCATCTATTTTCCATGAAGTGATGGGACTGGATGCCATGATCTTAGTTCTCTGAATGTGTAGAGTTGCTTAATGAGTTAAACTAAGGAGATCACTTAAAATAGATCCTGAACATAGCAAACCTCTATATCAGCCATAGTGGGGCTATGGAAGTATATTCACAACTCAAGGCAAATAAACCAAATTAATGAGAGATACATAGGCATTGGTGTCCTTAGACCAGGAAGGATCCATGGGGCTGTATCCAGGATGAAAGCCCCTGGCCCTAAGCCTTCTGTGCTTGCCCCTGCCTGCAGCACATCCTCTGAGGATGAAGGGGCTTTGGAGGGCTTTATGGGGCTCTTGCATGTCGAAAGCACAGGCTTGTTTGGTTTAGGGAGTGGAATGAGGGTCCTGCCTTAATAATAGTAAAAGCAATGATACCACGAATGTGGAGTACCCACTCTTTCTGGCTAGTCTGTTAGTTACTTTATTTACAATGCAAAAGGGATCCTGCAATATTTCATAGCTATAACATCTCTTATTTTCACATTGGCAAAAAATTCCTCTTTCCTTCCAGAAGAGCCCTTTATCCTAACTCTTCTAGAAATCCCTCTCCAGTTTTAAAGGGAGCTTTAATACTGGACAGTTACTTTGGACGTGGAAAATCAGTGCAGCCCATCTCCATCTCCCGCCTCTCAAATCTGGCTGCCTCTAGACTCTCCCTACTCAAAGTGTGGTCCATGGACCAGTAGTGACTGCATCCCATGAGAGCTTGCTAGAAGTGTAGACTCTTGGGCCCGTCCCCTGACCTAGTGATTCAGAATCTGCATTTTAACAAGATCTTTAGGCAATTTGTACATATATTAAAGTTGGAGAAGATCCCATTAGCACCACAAGCCTCAGCCCTGATAACACACTGGAATGATGTAAGCAATTCTGGTAACACTAATGCCTGGCCCTTACCTCCCAGGATTCTGATTGAATTGGTCTGGGGTAGAATCTGGATGTTAGTATTTTTCAAAAACTTCCCACACGATTCCACTGTTCAACAAACCAAGAACCAGAGCTAAAGGGAGATTGTCAAATAAGAAAAACATCCTCAAGGACTGCAGAGTTTGAATTCACATCAAGACTCACAAAGATGGTGCTTGGCTGGTCCTTCTTAGTGAGCTGCAGGGGTAAGTCTTCTCCATGGCAGGTGGGCTGAAGGAGCAGAGGATTTGGGCTCATCTGAGAGAGGGAGGGGTCAGTCTGTAGCTATGAATGGAGACTCCTGGGCAGAAGTAGGTATGAATAAAAATACAGCAGCACCACCCCCCCCCCCCCATTCATGGATTCAGCCAAGCTCAGATCCTGTCTGTGTTTACCATCCAAGGTTGGCTGAATCCTCAGATGTGGAAGCTGCAGGTACAGAGGGTTGACTATGGGACTTGAGTATCCATGGAATTTGGCTTCCCTTGCAGTTTCTGGAACCATCCCTTGGATACCAGGG